TTCAGGGGTTGAACCCCATCCCATTTGAGCTTGCCTCTGTGCTGCCCTGTTGCAGGCCTCGGCTCCGTGCGGGCCTCCTGTCCCATCTAGTATCTATTTCTTGTTCCAAATGCCCTTTCCTCACAGTGGCCCCTTTGATAACCACCAATCTCGGGGCTTGCTTCTCTAGGGCCTGCTCTTTGGGCCTGTGCCACACATTTACCATGGGCTTCCCAGGAAGAAACAGAAAGCCGCTGCAGGCTTTCCATGTTTCCATGGCTGGCACTTTGTAAACAATTCCTTTCTCCCGTCGTTGCCTCCCCAGTGCCCTCATTCTGTCCTAGTTTCCCTTTCTACAACCCGAGCAGCAGATCAGATGACTGTGCCGCCCTGCCCCCAGCAGGCCACTGGAGACGCTGGGACCCAGGGGTTCACCCGAGGTCACCACGCACCCCCAAACTCACCCCACTCTGTTCTTCAGGAAGAGCAATTTGAGCCTTGTTAATCCTCATCTTGTTTTTGTTGGGGGTTTGGTTTTGTTTTTTTGTCTTGCTGTGTAGCCCAGGCTGGCCTCAAACTCAAGGTGACCCTCCTGCTTCAGCCTCCCGAGTGCTGGGATTACAGGAGTGTGCCACCACACCCAGCTTTGAGATGGTGATTTAGTAAATCACCCCAGGCTGGGCTTGAAATTATTATCCTCCTGCCTCAGCCTTCCAAAGTACTGGGAGTTAGGTTTTACCTATTTATTTACTTGCTTGCTCATTCATTAGTGCAGTACTGGAGACTGAACCTGGGGGACCCCTGAGGTACATCCCAGTACATTTTTTAAAATTGTGTTATGAAAAAGCCAAAGTTACTCAGGCTGGCTTCTAATTTATGATCCTCCTGCCTCAGCCTCCCAAGTAGCTGGGATTAGAGATGTGCACCATCACAGAGGGCCACCTGGTCAGTGTATTTATTAGTTAATTAATTCACTTATTTTGGTGGGCTTTCTTTTGTTTTTTGGGTTTTCTTGGTACCAGGGATTGAACTCAGGACCTTGAGGCAGGTGGCGGCAACACTGAGGTACATCCCCGGCCCCTTTTGTTGTTTTGAGACAGGGTCTCACTAAAAGTAGTTCAGGCCGCCCTTGCACTGTGTATTCTCAGACTCTCAATGACCCTCCTGTGTCAGCCTCCCAGCGCTGGGATTATAGACGTGTGCCTCCACACCCAGTGCCTGGTCAATCTTTAGTCTCAGCACTCCGATAGCTGTGAAGTTTTGTTTGCTCTGAGGATGACAGCCAGTTCACAATCTGACGGTAGAGGGTCAAGGGAAATGGGAAGCCCCAGGCCCATGGTAAATTGTGTGTTCTGTTCCACAGCAGTTTCTACAGTTAACAGTAACTTACCATGGATTTCAAAGTAGCTGAAAAAGAGGATTTCAAATGTTTCCACCACAAAAAATAAGTATTTGTGGTGATGGATATGTTCACTGGACTGATTTGCACTTTTCACAATGCATACATGTAGAAACAAAAATAAAGAAAAAACAAAACAATCCATACAGGCATCAAAATGTCACATGGGGGCCGGGGATTTAGCTCAGTGGTTCCACCACCTGCCTCGAAAGCGCAAGGTCCTGAGTTCAATCCCCAGTACCAAAAAAAAAAAAGTCACATGGTACCAATAAGTATGTATATATTATTTGTCAATTAAAAATAAGATGGGTGTGGTGGTGCACATCTATAATCCCAGCACTCTCAAAGGCTGAGGCAGAAATTTCCTAAATGTGAGCCCAGCCTGGGCAATTTAGGGACTTAGTGATTAGAATAAAAAAATTAAAAAAGGGTTGGGGACCAGCTTAGTCCAAAGGTCCTGGCTCAATCCCCGTACACTGGTACTGTGTATATACTAGAAAACTAAGAAGGCTGAAGGTTTTTTTTTTTTGGTACCAGGGATCAAACTCAGGACCTTGCGCTTATGAGGCAGGTGAGGAGGCAGGTGAGAAGGCTGGAGTTTGAAGCCAAGCAGCTTAGTGAGATCCTGCCTAAAACTGCTGACCCAGTCGGGGGCTGAAGATGAAAAGCAAAAGCAATGGAAATTAATGCTGCTCCAGGTGCACCTGGGAGAGCTGGGCATTCAGCCCCACGGAAACATGGTTTCCATAGCAATCCATCACCACAGGCCGGAACTGGAAACAAGCCACTGCCCACTACCAGGTCAAGGGGTAAGCAGACTCCCAATGAGAAGAAACCACTGGCCCTGCACCACCACCACAGAACCCAAACTGTGATCCCACCAGGATGGAAGAAATCACTGAAAAGAGAGATGCTGTAGGATGTGCTGTGCAGAAACCGATGACTCGAAAACCCGGGCAGGACCACAACCCCAGGACCAACCACATCCACATTGTCGCTGCAGAACCTCCTGAGACCCATGTGTGGGGAAGCCTTTCAGCAATCCCTTAGTCACAGTTTCATCCCCCATGGTCTAACACAGGTGTCGGCGGCTGCTTCCTAAAAGTCTTAGTAAACTAATCAGAACACAGAGGGACTCAAGAGGCAGAGACTTAACAGCTGCTATAAAGACTGTTCAGTTAGAAAAACTAATCTTCATCTATAAGCTTCCAAAGTCTCTTTAAAAACCCTCTGTAGCCTTTTTTTTCCCGAGACAGGGTCTATGTAGCCCAGGCTGGCCTTGAACTCCTAGCAATCCTCCTGCCTCAGCCTCGAGTGCTAGGATTACAGGCGTGCACCACACCCTGTTTGGGGCCTTGTTTTGGTGGTAGTGGTAACGGAGGGGGTGACAGACCCGAAAACCAACCCTGCAGGATGGGCCGGAACTTCCCCAGCACCTTCTCCAGTGATGGCCTCTTGTAGTCCTAACACACACTCCCCAGTGACCTCCTCAGGCTCTTGTAACAGCAGCCCAACAAGCACTGTTGAGCATGTCAACATGTGGTGCAATATGCCTGTGATCCCAGCACTTAGGAGGCTAAGGCAGGAGGATTCTGAGCTCAAAGCTAGCCTGGGCTACAGTGAGTTCAAGGCCAGCCTCAACTGCACAGCAAGAACCTGCCTTAAAAAAAAAAAAAAGCTGTCTGGCCTCCCCTGCCCCGTGTACCCAGCTGAGATGCGCCTTGAGGATAGTGTTCAGTGTTAAAGACTCGGTACACAGCTTGGATGTTGTTTCCAACTAGACCGTGAGAAGCAGACAGGCAGGGGCATCTTCTGTCCCAGGAGAGGGGCTGACAGATGGGTGGCCACCTGCAGGGAAATGCCTGTTACTCTTCTCTCCTTGCTGAGACAAAATCCCTGACACCTGAAATTAAAGGGGGAAGAGGTTTATTTGGCTCAAGGTGGGTAGAGGTTTCAGTCCACCATCGGCCAGCACCAGGGCCGAGGGGCAACAGAAGACAGCAGAACCAGCAAGGGGCCTGAATAGTGCCTTTATGCCACTTTTATCCAGACTACTCAGGGTGGGTGGGACTCACACCCTTAGTCCTGGTGCCCTCGGGCCAGCCCCAGCCCGATTCAATCACACGCACTAAGTCAGTCACCGGAGAAAGCAGGCAGATTTGGGGGGTGTCTAATCACAAGCCCTAACAGTGTCTGTCCCCATGCTGACAACTCAGGACCCTTGGGTGTCCCTGGAGGCCGCAGCTCATCTCCAATATATTCTGGAGCCAATTTAACTCACGGGGGAAGGGGCTGCAGAGAGCCCTGCCCTGCTTGGGAAACTAACATTTCAGGGCCAGGAAAACACCCAGGCTTTGGAGTCTGGGCTACGCGACCACTTAGCGAGTGAGGACAGGAAGCACTCGACCTCACCAAGCCCGCAGGGGACTGGGTGAAAAGCCATCTCTGGCGGTGCAGCCGGGACTGACCAAACAGCTTCCCCAAACACTGCCTCTCTTTCTGATGCTGACAGCCAAGTTGTCATCAGCCGCCACCTAGTGGCCCAAAGCACAATCGCGACGGCAGGTGACCAGCAAATCATCTGTGTAGTTTTAAGATTTTCATCGTTTTGCTGTTTTTGGACACAATGTCTTGCTATGTAGTTCAGGCTGGGGTAGAACATGCTATGTAGCCCAGGCTGGCCTCCAACTCAAGTGATCCTCCTGCCTCGGCCTCCCCAGTGCTCCAGCTAGGCTTCCTTGTGGCACAGCACCAGGCGGTGTTTGTGTGCAGGGCCACAGAAAGTCTTGTCTGCCCCTCTGGCACTCACCAGACTGGCACTTGGCATCAGCCCTGGAAAACAATGCCTGGGCCCCTTTCTCCTGTCACGTGCTGGGTCAGCAGCCCCAGAGAACCCAAGGTCCCAGCCCCTCAAGGGCACCTGATAACAAGAGCTCCAGCTGCTCAGTCAATAGCTGTCAATTTTGCTATGTAGCTCAGGCTGACCTCTCCACCATTCTCCTGCCTCAGCCTCCACAGCGCTGGGATTGGACATGTGCCACCATGCCCAGATCTTGAAAACTTTGAGACAGGATCTGGCTATGTAGTTCAGGCTTTCTCTGAACTCACAATGATCCTGTCTCAAGCCCGACAGTACTCTACTACCAAGGTGGACCCCAGCCTGCTTCTGTGCATTTGCTCCTGTCGTTTTCATAAACCCTAACCTTTAAGACTGACAGAGTTTGCCTAGTATGGTGCACACCTGTAACCTCAGCATTCCGGGAAGCTGAAGCAGGAGGATCACCCAACCTGGAAAACACAGCAAGACCTCTGTCTAAGAAAAAAAAAAAAAAGAAAATACAGTAGAAAAGTAGCTCAGTGTGAGGGGCCTGGGTTATAACCTACTCCCTCCAAAAAACCACCCAGTAAGCTCCAGTTTAAATAGCACTGTACTCCTCCCGTCTGTGCAGAACCCTAGAGCACTGTTTCCTTTCTCCTCTCCAGCACCTCTAGAGGAGGCACGAAATCCCAATGCCAGGCCACTGAGTGGGCACAGCTGGCATGGCAGGCGCCTGGCCCCCTCCCCCGTGACCCCTGAGCAGCTCCACTCGGGCTTCGCAGTAGCACACAATGCACACGCAGATACAGGTTCTCCCGCTACACGTTTATTCAACAGAAAATAGCAGCTCCGGACTCTACTGGGGTGGCTGCCCTCGTCCACGACCAAATCCACCTCTCTGCAAGGAAAAGCACACAACGTCAGGGTTCTCTCGGGCTCAGGACTCTCGGTCCTGGTGCCCTCGCCTCCTCCCAGTCACCTCTAGAGCTATCACCGGCCTGAAGTGGATGGAAAACCCAGGCGGAAGGGAACCCGTCCAAGACCACATCTGCAAGATGGTGACTTGATTCCCTACCAGGTTTACCCAGGAACCTGACACCCACGGGCCACTTTGGTTCCTGACGTGAATTCTGGGTCAGGAGCTCTGTGGCGAGCACCAGCACCGAGACTCACCAGCAATCTGTTTACTGTGGCCACTGAAACTCACTTGGGATCCAGATAAGAACGGGGGACAGGGCCTGCCCCACCCCCCACCCCCCACAGGACGGCTCTCGGGGGCGGGCAGGGTTACTCACGAACTGGAACTCGGTAGCTGACCCGGCGCCGGCCTCGGCCTTCTTGTCGGCACCAGCTGGAAAAGAGACAGCCACTCAGAGCCACCGCCCCGAGCCCCGCTGCGGGGGCAGAAGGGAAGGCGGGACACACAGCGGTGGGTGCTGGTGCAGAGGCGCAGGGCAGTCAGGAAGCCCGCCCACCCACCCCTCCCCAGGGCCCTGCCTCCAGGAACTCCCTGGGCACCTGGACAGAGAACAGGGCTGGGGCGCAGCTCAGTGCAAAGACCCCAGGTTCAGTCCCAGACTACCAGATGGAGGGTGGACGCACAGCTACAGGACCCTCTGTCACACACAGCCTATGTGGACCAAGGCCACTACAGTGGCCTAAAATCAGTCTCCTTTCGGCCCTGTGACACCTGCCCAGAGGTGTCAGTCGCTCCCCGCCCAAACCTACGCCCAGTCCCCTCACAGGACCCCGCTGAGGCCTGGCCCTGACCGAGGTTCCATGGTGTGAGCCATCACTAACTCCCTCTCGACCAAGGGCCCACTTCCATCTCGTGTGTGAGGAACCACAAGAGGGGAGCGGGCAGCAGAGCCTCGCTGCTGCCACCAAGGACTCTCGTCAGTCTCTTTGGCACCTTCCCGGCCCCAATCAGGGCCAAGGCAGAACCTGCAGCTCCCCCGCGACACCAGCCCTGCGGCGCAGCACTCACGGGGCACGGCGCTCCGTCTGTAGGTGTCTCTGTCGGCCTCCCCTCTCGTGAGCCTCATGGGGCGCTCGCCTTCCACACCTGCGGGGACAGAGGCGTGCGTGGTGAGCACAGGAGGACGCTTGGATGGCACGGCGGGCACAGGGCCTCCTACACACTCGCGCCTGTGCTGCCAAGAAGCCCACGTCTCAGTTGAGATGCCACATAAATAAACAGGGCTGAGGACGTAGCTCAGGGCCAGGTTTTTCTGCTATAATTTCTTAACATGAAAGTATTTTCCAGAAATGTGGCCATTTCTAAAAACATCTGAATAGCCAAGATTTTGAATTTCACCCATCCCTCCAAATGGAAAACTGAGTGTAGCAGGGAGAAAGGTCGGGTAGTAAGCGGGAAGCCCCAATTCCAGCAGTAATTACACAACTCAGAAGCCACCAAGAACCCCCAGTTCAGTTCCTCTGGGGCTCCTGGACAGACCTCATTTGGGTTTTCTGATGGAACCCAGGGCCAGAGCCATGCCAGGAGTCGAGCTCCTACCACTGAGCTACACCACAAACCCAGGCTCAGGGTTTTGTTTGTTGTCTTGAGACAAGGTCTTTTTTTTTGGTACCAGGGATTGAACTCAAGACCTAGTGCTTGCTAAATCCCCTGCCCGAGACAGGGTCTTGCTGTGTAGCCCAGGCTGGCCTCCAACTCAGTGATCCTCCTGCCTCAGCCTCCCAAGTGCTGGGATTACAGCCGTGTGACGCCATACCCAGCTCAAAGCAGATTTTAAAAGCTAAAATCTACCTTAAAATGCTCATAAATATGGAAAGTAATACTCCCCCTACCTAGTTACCCCAGAATATCCCTGGACATGATTAGAGCACACGATTTCTAAAGCATTAGATGAATAGCTCCATGGCCAGTGACTGAGTAAATACCAGGCCCACCTGGGCCTCCAGATGGGAATCTGAGAGAGCAGACCCTGCTTTTCCCTGCGGGATTCCAAGATCCAACAGAGAATCCTGCCCCTAAAGGAGCAGAACTGGATCCCTGGGGAGCTTCCCTGTTTCTGGAGCCCGACAGTCCCATGACCACCGCGTTCAGAAATCTAGGCACCTTTCACCTCGGCCCACAAACTCTCTGCAGCAACTACAAAGTCCATGCGAGAAGAGCCATCATCTTGACAAAATGCGACCCCAAGCCAGCAACAACCTCAGGAGCTGGAAGAGAATTCCCAGCATGACACTACGGTTTCACACTGTGACTCTCCATATATCTGCTCACCAACTTTTTACAACGTCTGCTCCCCTTGCTAAGAAACGCTCCAAATTTCTTCTCGTGCCTAGTAAACTGCTTTGCTGTGGGCTTCTTGGGGTAAGCACAACCTCTCCTGCTGGAGAACGGTTAGCCCACACCCCATCCACATGTGTCCGTCTGGGTATCGGCACAGGCTGTGGGGAAGAAAGCCAGCCACGCTGCCACTCACGCTGAGTGCCCTCAGAGGACCTGAAGACCTCTGCTCAAGGCTGGGGCCTGGATCAACAGCCCTGTATGCCACAATCCCGCTAAAGCTGACTGGGGGGGGGGGACGGGACCAGAACCGAACCAAAGTCACTCTTGTCCCCACACACAGCAGCTTCCAGCAGGCCCTGGGAGGGAGTTATCCGCACCTCACCTTTGTTGTTGTTGGTTTTCTGAGACAAGATCTCGCTATACAATTCAGGCTGGCCCTGAACTGAGTGATTCCTCCTGCCTCAGCCTCCCGAGTGCTGGGATTACAGGCACACACCACCACACGGTGCTTGCACCTTACCTTTGGGCCGGGGTCTGCCAGTCTCGGGCCGGCTGCGGCGCAGGGTGGCAGGCACGATCTCAGGGGGCAGGTGGAGGTAATCACGGAGATACTGGATGCCCTCGTTGGTAAGGTACCAGTAGAAGTGTCTCCAGGCAAACTGTTCCTTCACGTAGCCTCGGGACTTGAGAGACTGTAAGGCACAAAACAGTTAAGACTGAGCACAGTGATGCAAGTCTGCAGTCCCTGCTCCTCAGGGGACTGAGGCAGGAGGATCCTTTGAGCCCAGCCTGGCCAACACACAGCAAGACCAGCTCAAAAGCAAATTAAACATGGGGCCGGGGATTTAGCTCAGTGGTTCCAACGCCTGCCCCACAAGTGCAAGGACCTGAGTTCGATCCCCGGTACCAAAAAAAAAAAAAAAAAGTGCTAGAAAAGCAAATTAAAGTACAAGTCTGGAGCTCTGCACTTGAAAGGCAGCAAGTAGCCAGGGCTGTCCTGGTTTCTTGGAATCTGCCTGGAGCATTAGTTTAAAATCCCTCCATCTCCATCCCGCCCCTTACCTGCATGGCCTTCATGACGTGAAGGTTGGGTACATTTTTGTCGGCCAGCTCTGGGTGCTTGGGCATGTGGACGTCCTTCTTGGCCACCATCACTCCCTCCTTAAAAAGGAGCTCGTAAATGGCGATCCGGTTCTTCTTGGGCATCAACATCTGCGAGAAAGAGACCGTGATGGGCGCTTCTGAGCAAGGTGGCTGGGGTTCGGCTATCAAGGCCACGCAAGACCTGAAATCGACCCCACAAAGCCATTGCCACTGGGTTAACCGTAGTGGCACAAGACACGAGGAAGGGAGGACTAAAACTGAATGGAGAGGGAGCACGGGTTCCACTTTCACAACCTTCACAACCACAGCGGTGCCTGGAACCGGGTGTTGGGGGTGGGCACAGACGCTTCAGATCTCCCACCCCCCGGGAACGTCAGCGACCGTACCTACCATGGTGCAAACCCCGAAGCTGTTCCCTTACGTACACAACGAGGATCCAGAGGTTTTACAAAAGCCCTCGCTTCCTGACACCCCTATTTCCTAAACCTACCTACCCCAAACTAGGGCCCCAGGGCCGGGCCAGGGCGCAAACCCGAGCAAGAAAAGTCCTGCCGGAAAACAATGCAGGCAAGATTCTGTCTCCCCAGCCTCGCCTGCTAGTCTCCGCCACGCAAGGACTTCAAACTCCCCTCTGTCTTCCGCCATCCGGACGCCAATCTTGCCTATAAGAGCTCCCTTAACTCCTTGAACTGCGCCTCAGTTGCTCTCGCTGCTTGGAAATGGGTGAGTGAGGAGGAGCAGAGAAGCACCCGGCCCTGACCCTGGGGACGGGCGGTCGCAATGGTGGCAGGATGGCCTGGATGGGGGCCGATGAAACCCTAACTACAGAGGAACTCACCGCGTCGGCTGCAGGGACCAAAGCCGAGGCTGGAAAGGAAGGGACATGCGCATCCCCAGCTTCTCTTCCGGGCTGCGCGGCCCCGCCTCCTGCCAGGACCCCGCGCTGCCTGGGGTGGCTTCGGCATTGCCTGAGAAGTGGGCGGTGCGAGGGACGAAGCTGCTAAGGGCGCATGCGCTGGGAAATTGCCGTGGAGAACTACCTTCTAATTGCTTTTATCAATAAAAATCATTGCTGAGGCAGGAGGATCGCAGATTCGAGCCCAATCTGGGCAGTTTCGCAACTTGCTAGACCCTCCCTCAAATCTTTTTTTAAAAATCAAAAATCAAAAAAATAATAAATAAAAAATAAATAAAAATAAAAGAGCTACAGCCTGGCGTGGTGGCTCACCCCTGTAAGGCCAGCACTCGGGAGGCTGAGTCAGGAGAATAGCCTCCAGTTCGAGGCCAGCCTAGGCTACATAGCGAGACCCTGTCTCAAAAATAAAGGGCCGGGGAGTTAGCTCAGTGGTTCCACCACCTGCCTCGCAAGTACAAGGTCCCGAGTTTGATCCCTGGTACCAAAAAAAAAAAGGCCCCCAAAACAAACAAACAAACAAACCCATGCCTAAACATATTATGATGAAGTAAAACATCAAAGATAAGGAGGTTTTTGTGGTTTTTGTGGATTGAACCCAGGCTCTTTGCACTAAGCTACGTCCCCAGCCCTTTTTATATTTTTACATCAAGACAGGGTCTCACTTCAGTTGTCTAGGTTGGGCTCAAACGTGCCGTCCTCCTGCCTCAGCCTCCCAGAGTGCTAGGATCACAGGTGTGTATCAGTCTAATGGGCTTACTAAAAGCAGTCAGCAAAAAAAGGTGGGTGTGCCAGTGGGTGTGCCCACACCCACTGTAGTTCAGCTACTCAGTGGCTAAGAGGAGTACAAGATTGAGGGCAGCCTGGGAACGTTAGCGAGAGCTTGTTTCACAAATGTGGGATCCGGGCATGCACATACCTGTAATTCCATACTCAGGAGGCTGAGGCAGGAGCATCACCGAGAGTTGGAGACCAGCCTGGGCTACATAGTGAATTCAAGGGCAGCCTGAACTGCATAGTGAGATCTTGTCTCAAAAAAAAAGGACTGGGATGCTGCTCAGTGGTAAAGTGCCCTGGCTGGATTTGATCCCCAGTACTGAGAGAAAGGCAGATGTGTGGCTCACGGGCAGCTGCAGTGTGATGCAGTCTCCAGAGACATGGGCCCCAGGTCCCCTTCCCTACTACTCACAGTGCTCCTCCTAGAACAGCGAATATGTTGCTGCTCAAGTCCCCCCAGAGGCTCTCAAATCACTCAGAAAAATCCAAGACCCCTCCCACCCCATCCTGGGCCCAGGCCAGGCCTTTGCACTGAGCTACACCCCAGGCCTTCTTATTATTGTCTGTTTAGGGACAGAGTCTCGCTGAGCAGCTACACTGCCCAGGCTGGGCTCGCCACCATGCCCAGCACCCAGCTCCCTCGTCTGGTGTGTTCCCGGGAATGTCCCATCCCTGGGGGGCACCTAACTGTGGGCTGGGCCGCACCTTTCTCCTCTCCCATGGCCGGCGTTTAGCACAATGGCTCCCATGTTCTGTTCTGAGTGTTTCAGATATGAACAACAATCTCAGGGAGAGGAGGGCCTGGGAGGTAACTGAGCAACAAAGGGGCCGATGATAACGTCCCCCAAAGGCCTTCTCAGAGCTGGGTGGGATGACACACGCCTGTGATCCCAGCACTCCAGGAGGCTGAGGCAGGAGAATCACAAGTTTGAGCCAAGCCAGGGCAATTTAGTGACTTAGTGAGAACCTATCTCAAAAAGCAAAAGGAATAAAAGGGGGACGTAGCTCAGTGCAAAGGGGCTGGTTCCATCCCCAGTACTGAGAAAGAAAACAAAACGAAACAAAAGACTTCTCAGATGACAGAGCGTCACATCCCAAACTTGCTGACTCCACTCAGCAGCTGGGCACTGAGCCCCAGGGGGCTGGGCCAGGTGGCTGGGCCAAAACGGGGACCGGGGCACACGTGGGCCCTACAGCGAGCTGTAGATGCACCCGAGATGGGGCGCCAGGCCAGGGGCTGAGAGTGACGGAGCGGCAGAGGTGACATCTCAGTTGCTGCCCTTGGGGAGGCTTCGGGCTTGGAGGAGAAGCTGGAAGGGGTCAACTCCCAAGAATGGGGCCTCACGGGGCCACAGCAGGGCCCACTCACCTCCGGAAATCGGTCAGGTTTCATGCTGAGCTCAGTCCTGGTGGCACTAAGTGTGTGTTTAGACATGGGCCACCATGCCCCAGGGAAACGGGTGTTTCCTGCCCCGTGGAGGGGAGGAGCCTGGAAATGCAGTCTGGCTCCCCTTCCCCAAGGGGTCTTCCTGCTGGGCCAAGACCAGGCAGGGACCCCGGCCCTGGGAGGAAGGGGTTGGCCCTGTGCCCACCCGATGCCCTGGACGCTTGAAGGCTGGCTGAGCAAGGCCACGCACCAGATGGAGCAAGCCAGGCACCCTCAGAGCGGGACCCAGGAGACAGTATTTTACTTTTTAAATAATACTCGTAATAAAGTGAACAGAGCTGTAGGTTACAACTCAAGGCGTTCTTACATGTATGTTCAAGGCGTGACCAAATATACAGTGAATGATTACTTTTTTAAAGATCATTACAGTAAAAGAGATTGCCATTAATCCCCGTAAAATACTTCCTCCCTCTTTGAACACACTCATCCCATCCCATCGTTCTGGCCACTTTCTGAGGCAGTTCTGGAAGTGCTCTTTCCTGAGTGTCTTTACCAGGCGTGATTTAAAATATGGTGAGTGCTGCCCTGCACCGTCCAGCATGTCAAAGCACCATGGTGTGCGTCTTGTTCACCAGATCTACCACTGTGCCGCTTCCGCCTCTTCCCTGAAGTCAAAATGACCACGAGAGGGAAGTGTTTGGAAAGGATTCATAACAGTGAGGCAGCCAGGGGACACGACTAAAGACACTCATGAAAGAGAATTTTAGGACTGCTTTAGAAAGTGGCAAGAAGGAACTGGGCATGGAGACTCAGGCCTTCGATCCCAGCCCTCGGGAGGCTGAGGCAGGAGGATCTCCAGGAGTTCCAGGCCAACTTGGGCTACATAGTAAGAACCTGTCTCAAAACAAAATAAAACCCAAAAAACTTAGGCATCCACCATGTTTTTCTGTCACACTTCTTCAGTGTGTGTGTGTGAATCCCTGTGAACAGCTATTCAGACCAAGATCCAGAATATGGCCAATATCCCAACGACCTCCCTTTCCCAGCAGCAACCCCCTACTCCCAAGTACACTCTGTTCTTTTTTGTTTTATTTTTCTGAGTCAGGGTCTCACTATGTAGTTCAGGCTAGCCTTGAACTCACCAGGTAGCCCAGCCTGGCCTCAAACTCTGGGAGATCCTCCTGCCTCAGCCTCCCAAGTACCAGGGTTACAGGTGTGCACCACCACGGACATTACCACAGTGTGTACTTTGTATCTAGCTAGCTGACTCCCTCCATCATTAGGTTTGTGAGAATCACGTGTGTTGCAGGTGTCAACAGGTACTTGGAGCCACTGAGATGCACTCTATTGAAAGCTATGCCATACTTTCACTGGTCACAGTGGCACATGCCTGTAATGCCAGCACTCTGGGAGGCTGAGGCAGGCAGATTTCAAATTTGGGGCCACTCTGGGCAAGTTAGTGACTTAGTGAGATCTTGTCTTTAAAAGTAAACAAATAAAGAGTTGGGGATGCAGCTGAAAGTGAAGGCCCCGAGTTCAATCCCCAGTACCAAAAGAAGGAAAGGTCATACTTTGTTTATCCATTAACAGGTGATGGAGCCCAGGCCCGACCTGTGCCTGGCTGCTGGGTTATAGCTGTGAAGACTGCTCTCGCCCGTAGGCAGCCGGAGGTGAGGACCAGCACCTGCCGCATCTGTAACACCCCAGGCCCCTCCTGAGGGTGGCGGCCAGGCTCTGGGTCCCAGGACTCCGGGGTCCCCCAGGGTGGGAATGCGTAAACTGAGACCTATAAAGATCTCCAAGTTCCTTTCCTTTTGAATTCTGGGCCTTTCATCAAATCTGTGGCAGGGGAGTGGAGGGAGCCCGTGGTGGGGTGGCTTCTCGCTCCTGGGGCTCTGGGGTTGGGGCCGCAGTGACCTGGCTGTGACAGTGGCACACGTCCTCGGCAGACACCCGGGCTCCCTCCCCACCTGGACCGGCTCTCGGGCAAGGTGCTGCTCCTCCCTCCTGCAGCAGCCGTCTGCTTCTGCGGGGCCGGCGGGTTAGAGCCCCGGCGGGGCGGGACCGGCAGGTGGCAGTGGAGACGTCCGAGCATGCGCACAGTGGCCGGCCCGCTTCCCCTCCGGGTGAAGCCCGCCTGCCCGCCTCCTGGCACCTCGCGGGCTGTCCCTTCCGCCCGCTCACCGTCCTCAGCTCCAGAGTGACCAGTGTCCAGGTGAGCGCGGCGAGTCCAGCGAGGGCCACCTGTACAGCCTGGGGCCTTTGTCTTGGGGATCGCCCGGAATAGGACGACGCGCACCGGGCAGATCCACGTTGGTGACAAGGCTTGGTCCGTTCACTGTCACCTGCCAACCTCTGGACCTCTCCTATATCGTCTGAGACTGCGCAAATGATCCAGCAGAGCCAGGCCAAGCTTGCTTCCTATTGGGACGCATTTGTAGTACGCAATGTTTACATTCCCTGTGAGGGGTTGGTACATTGCGTCACAGGTCCTAATTCCTTTTTCATCCCCTTTCCCTTCCCCTCCCTCCCCATAAGATCTCTTATGATCCAAAATGCATGGATCTTTAAAAAAAATTAATAAATAGAGCCAGGGATTTAGCTTAGTGGTTCTGTCGCCTGCCTCGCAAGTGCAAGGACCCGAGTTCGATCCCCAGTACCAAAAAATAAATAAATAAATGAAATTAATAAATGAAACTTTTATCTTCAAGAAAGACCTGGGCGTGTGCTGTAATTCCAGCACTCAGAGGAGCCGCGGCAGGAGGACTCCAAGTTTAAACCGAGCATCGGCAAATTAGCTACTTAATGAGACCCAAACTCAAAATTTAAAAAAAAAGAAATTAAAAACGGCTGTGTGTGTGGCACAGTGTCCCTGGGTTCGATCTCCATTACCAAAAAAAAAAAA